TATAAATTCTAGCCCAGAACGAGCAGTTCCCAGAAACTGGAACGGCCCGTTCCCAAACTGGAACAGGCCGTTCCAACCTTAAAAAAGGACCTGTAATTTTTAGCCCAGAATGGGCCATTCTCGAACTACCAAAATACCTAAAAAATTTAGTCTAGAACGGGCCGTTCCGAAATTGGAACAGCCCGTTCCGAAAATGACCGTTGTGAGTAAAATTGCAACCCCGGAACGGGCCGTTCCGGTCCCTCCTGAAAGTCTATAAATAGCGGCCCTTCCCCTTCCCAAAGGCACCCACACACACACATCTCCACCTTGGACCAGAGGGGACCCAAAGGAAGAGATCAACAAGTTACCGCTACTATAGCGAAGAATTGTGAGTATATTAAACTCATTTCTTTTATTAATTTTTATATCTGTCAGTAGTTCTTATTTAAATTCAAAATGTGATTAAATTCCAAAATATAGTGTTACAATATTTAATGTAAATATCTGAAATTATTGTATCAAAATTTTATTGGAGGAATGGTTAACTAGATGTGACATCTTTTTAACCTTTGAATTTAAAGTACAAGTTGTGACAGCTTATCTTTAAATTTTTCCTCCAAAAAACGAAAATGTCCAACCAAGAAATTCTTTAATCACAACATCTATAACAATAATTATAATTAAAATTTTATTGAATTGACTTTGGTGTACACCTTGGTCAATTTTATATTTTTAAGGTGAATGAGCTGAGACAGTTCAAGAATCCTATATTTAACAAAAGTAAATCTAATTAAAAGATATCAACACACAAATATTTTCTACCAAAGAACTACGTGACTCTGATTCTTCATTACACATGAAGATACGTAGGAACAAGAAATAAATCTTGTCGAGCCAAAAAATAAAAAATATTTTATTTTCTTTTTTATATAACAATAATAATTTTAACCTTTTTTCAATGCATAATTTAAATTAGTTAAATAAAATATATTTGATTATTTTAGTGAGATAAATATTTTTATAAATTATAAATAATTAGTTTAATTAATTAGAGGTAATCGTCTTAGGACGAACGTTGTGAGGTGCTAATACCTTCCTCACACGTAATCGACTCCCGAACTCAAAAATTTGATTTTTGCAAACTATTTTCTAGTTTATGGTTTTTCCAATGTTTTTAATTCATATAATCATAAAAATTATTTAGGTCTAATCCGTGAAATTTACGGACTTCACAAGCTTAATCCGCTACGCCTACAAATGACACACTTCATTATACAAATAATGTTGTGCATTTTAGTTGGTAAGTATTAAGTTAATATAAAATTGTAAAACACTTAAAAACCTAAATAGTAAAAACTAAATTCTTCTTTTCCTTCATTCTTGCATGTGTTTTGTGCTGCCCCTCCCCAAGCATTCAAATAACAACTATCCCTTTGGAATTGACATTTGATTAGTATTAGTTCATGGGTGTTCAATAATAAATACTGAAATTCGCTTCTTAACAAAAATGTTCAAACATTAATATGTACTAAAAAATCATAGATTTGATGTGTATGGTAAATATTAAACTACCTTTTAAGATGTTGATTATTTTTTATAGATATAATTGGATCTACAAATGCTTTTTTTAAAGATATTAATTATTAAGACTTTTATAGTTTAAAATAGTAAGATTTTAATATTTGGTTAATTGTTGATATGTTAATTTAGATTTTTAATTTTTTTAAGACATTGAGATTTTTATGTTTTTATTATAATGTGTAAGCTTTATTATTTAACACTGTAATTTATCATTTACAATGGTTGATGTTATCATTATTAATATATTTATATCATCTAATGTTATCTTTTTTCTCATGTTTTTATCGGTTTAAAAATAGAGAAAACTTTTTTTAAAATCTCTTTAAATGTATCGATATTTATTAAAAAAAAATCTAGATTTAACTTAACTTATATATCAGTCCATTTATCTCCAAGTTTTACATGTCAAGTATAAATTTAAAATCTTAAATCCATTTATTTCATCAACCAAACTTATCTAATCCATTATAAATACAGGATTAGTGGACTGCGCCTTAAAAAAATTGGACGGATTCATATTTCCATCTTGTATAGGTTGTACATGCAATATTTTGTGACATTGTCATAGTGTCACATTCTTTTAGTTTTTTTTTTTTTTTTTCATATTTTCTTTCACTTTTTTAGATAATTCAAAATTATAAAAATAAAGAGCCTCCTCCCTTATTAGTTACAGTCTCTTATTATCATTCTTGTTTTTCAATTAATTTAGGCTTAATTATGTTTTTGATCCATCAAGTATTAAAATTGTGTAATTTTGATCCCAAAATATTAATTGGGTAATTTTAGTCTCTAAAGAATTGCAATTGAGTGATTTTGGTCCTTCAATTTTTAATTGAATAATTTTAGTTCTTCAAATATCATAATTGTGCAATTTTAGTCTCTCTCATTAAAAATTTAATAATTTTAATATATATATATATACAATGTTTTAAAA